AATGGGACCCTTTGATGGTTTTATTATGCTTGTGACAACTGCATCATTAGCTCTTTATGTCGGACATATTATTGCAAACCTTACTCTTGGTATCTTTTATTATAGACAGAAACAACTTAATTGGTTTTTCCATGTAGTTGTTCCAGTTGTTGCATCTATTCTTGTTGGCTTTAGTATATTTTTCACTATGTATCCTTATGATCCTGTTACATTAGCTTGTCCGACATGGACTGGAGTTTGGTTGATATTGTCCATTATTGGAGGTTACTTGACTCCACGTGACCGCTTAGACGCTGCTCAACGTCGCTTTGAACGAGTGCAAGATCTTATGGGTGCAACATATGTCAAAGTCAATTCAGAACATGATCGAGGTGACAAGCAGTACTTGGATGAGGAGAAAGCCGATTACAGCAGTTCATTGACACAGGAAGCAGGGCAAGTGGACAAGCAACCAAGCTATATAGATGACGAAGTGATAGGAGCAAGTTCCCAGAGTCATTAATTGAACGATATTTAGTTGAGAAGAGTTTTATGAAATGTGAAGGTATGAAATGACAAAGTCTCTGTTTGTTAATCGAATTATTTAACAAATGGAAAAGTAAAGTGTATTTCTCAAGTTTTTCATAAATACAAATTATGGACAGTAATTTGTTCATACTTGCTCATTTTTACTGGAGTAAGTATTATACAAATGTTCCTTTCTTGTGTTATGAATAGTATCAGAGACGAACGAAAGCAGTTCTCCTGGTCATAGCTTGGCTTCTTCCAAACTTGCTTTTATAAAAGGCTGATTACAAAAGTTGTGAAAGACTAGTGTTTTTGGATAACCTTCTTTTTAACTTGGGATGTTGAGAGACAACATTAAGTACCACCAAAGGAAGTATTCTGTAATTGATTCCAGTTCTTTTCTGGTTTCAAATTTTTATTCTGAAGTAGTAACTTTTGCAGTGATAAGTCGTACGATAACGATCGTACTTCTTCCTGCATCATGTAGAAATAAGACATATTCTCTCTCTTGAAGATCAGCAGTGCAACCAGCTATTACTATTTCTGAACACAGATGACCATTTTTAAGATGCAGTCGGAAACACTGTACTAATGAAGAATTGATTATATTGACACACAATTACGGCGAGAATATGAGTGATATCATCTCTCAATGTCTTCGGTATTAATTTCTTTTGTATCCACCTCCGCAGAGTTGAATTACATTGTAAACTTGATAAGATTGAGACGTACTTCATACAAAGAATCTCATATGAGTTGTGCATTAACCTCTACACAAGAAAAACCTCGTTCTAACGTCTTGAATTGATTTTACGTTCTCTGTCAGTTTTCTTCTTGGCCACCTGTTTCTTGCAGTCTTACTTATAAGAATCATATTCATATAAAGTCGCTCCTCTGATGAACTCAAAATAGCATATATCTAGAACACTTCTGGTGTTAACAATATATAGCTGAGCAGGTTTGCAACAGTGGGTATTTACTACTCGAGTGATACTGCGTTTGGTATGTCTAAAAACCATACTATTCAGAATATTCTTTAAGAACTCCTTGACATTCGAGAATATTACACTACTGTCAAGAGATTCGAGAGAATGGTTGTCTACGAGTAGTATCCAGGTTTACAGTCGTTGCTACTAGGAAGTTCATGCTGGAAGATTTTTGTCATCCCTTCTGAGGGTGCGAAAACTTCAATGAGCTTGTCTCTGATTGGTTGAAATTTGCGTATCTAGCGGACGTCGCGTAGTCTTAACGACAATCAGCTGCAGATAAACAATCGCAACTTGCGAATTCTTAGTGAGTTCTTGGATTCCACATCTTCGTTGGAAACATGGGTTTGGAGCGCTTCGTTAAGCTACTATTAACTTACGAGAGTGGTGATAAAGCAGATGCCCAAAATGTTCGTACTCTTAAGAGAGGCCGCTTAGGTTTTTGGCATCTTTTCTTTCAGTCTGTTTCTATGATATCTCCTGCAGGAGCGATGGCGGCGACTATGACAAGTGCGGCAAACTATGCTTGGGGAGCACTTCCTTTTTCATATATCTTGGCTATTATTGCGGGTACATTGCTTATGAATACGACAGTTTGGTATTCTATGAAAGTAGCTTCTTCTGGTGGGTATTACGCCTACGTCTTTGCAGCAGTCGGCCCTAGATGGGGACTTATTTGTGGAATGATGTTTATTCTGGCATATTTTAATGTTGTCACAAACGCAATTTTATTTGTCGGCGGAGTGTTTTTCCCTGGTTTTATAAGTACGATGACCGGAGCCTCATATGCTGAGAAGGCATGGATTGGAATTATGTTCGCGTTTATTTTACTTATTTATATATTGGCTTTTCTTGGAATCAGAGCATCACTTGATTATTCACTTGTGATTGGTACATTTGAGCTTGTCTTTATGTTTGCTTGTACACTTGCAGTGATAATCAAAGTTGGTTCGAAGAATACTGGAGAAGTGTTTCATCCTTCTTTAGCACCTACACGAGCAGACATTGCTATTGCTGCGTTGCTATCTCTTTTTTCCATCTCGGGATATTCTGCAGCGACATTTCTTGGAGAGGAAGTGAAGAATCCTCGTCGTCAAATACCCATAGCTGTCATATTGGCCTATTCTACTGTAGCATTGTTGTTCTTCTTTATGTCTTATGGTTTGACTGTGGGTTGGGGATACAAAGACATGTCACAGTTTGCTGCCTCGTTGGTCCCTGGAGTTATTGTCTACAAGCGTTACCTAACTGCAGTTATTGGCTGGTTTATGGTCGTTTTAATTTTAAACGCAATGTTTCTTGGTGCTTTAGCTCCTTTGAATAGCTGTGCTAGAATGATTTTTGCGTTTGCCAGAGAAGGTTTAGTATTTCCGAAAATTTTTGCAGTTGTTGATAAGAAGCAAAATCCAGTAGTATCGACAGCAGTGGTAGCTTTCCTTGCGACTATTGTAGCTCTTATTGCAGGACTTGCAATGGGACCCTTTGATGGTTTTATTATGCTTGTGACAACTGCATCATTAGCTCTTTATGTCGGACATATTATTGCAAACCTTACTCTTGGTATCTTTTATTATAGACAGAAACAACTTAATTGGTTTTTCCATGTAGTTGTTCCAGTTGTTGCATCTATTCTTGTTGGCTTTAGTATATTTTTCACTATGTATCCTTATGATCCTGTTACATTAGCTTGTCCGATATGGACTGGAGTTTGGTTGATATTGTCCATTATTGGAGGTTACTTGACTCCACGTGACCGCTTAGACGCTGCTCAACGTCGCTTTGAACGAGTGCAAGATCTTATGGGTGCAACATATGTCAAAGTAGAAGGTGCTGCACAGTTTGATATGAGTGGAAGCAAGAATGAACCGGAGTTGTCAGTTGAAGCTGATGACTCTCATAGAAACAGTGAAGGAGGGGGTGGTTCTTCCAAATACGTCGACGATGAACTTGTTACAGCAACAGCAAAATAAGTTCATATCTACGATATTCTAGAATTTGTGTTTTTTTTATATTGAATGAAAGTATTTGCTTGCTGCTTTTGATGATGTCTTTCATGTTATTTTCACAACTCAATCATTTGGCATCACGAATAGGGTTTTCAAGAGAACCCCATTGAGAATCACATTCATCCATCCTTTCCGAAGTCCTACCAAGCCTATTGGATAAGAGATTATGTTGTCGTTCCTTTGTAGTAGTTCTGGTGGTGCGTTGTTTTCTTCGAAACAGTAACGT